TCCGTAATTCTTGCACTCGATCGCGTTAAAATTTGGCACGTTTATTTGGACTATTGTGGCGTATTATTTCTTAAAGTTTTAGTCAAATCGATATACTGGGTGATAGTTTTCTCCGGTTACTTCCCCCTTTTAACGGTCAAAACGTTTACAGTGGCCGTATTTTTTTTAAACGGGCAGCAACAATAAAAAGGTTTTGATAAAAAAAAATTGTGGCTTGAGAAAATCGTCTAGAGAAAGCCTTTCTTGAGAAAAATGGAATTATTTGCAGGTCTGTATGTTTCGGTTTGCGTCACGGATTTAAAATTTTTGAGTTCAGTAGGCGATGAAAACCGTTGCATTGCTGCTAAAATATTTTTGTATAATTCATAAGAAAATGATTTTCAAAGTTCGATACCTTGAAAACGGTTAAGTTTAGGTACATGATGTGTTAAATAAATTTTGTTTAGAATTTCGAGAAGAATTGAAATATGGAATAATATACAGGGTATTCTGATAACGAAAAAGCAACTTTGTTTCGTCATAACTTTTCTTTATAGTGATAGCTTTAAGAAAACGTGTCTTATGATTTTTTTTATAGCTATCTTATTTTGGAGACAACCGACCGTTTCCATACATATCAGCGACCCCGAACTGATGCATATCTATCACCGACTTACCAATTTCAGCAAAAGAACATCCAAAGTATTTCTAGTAACGTTGTCTATTACCTCAAAACCTTTAACGGTTACAGTTTTGAGGCAAAGCTTACACGAAGTTTTTTGAACACCAGTCATTGCAACAATTTTCTTTGAAATGTAAATGTCGAACTGTAACTCGTGTTCGTTGTTTAACCTCAAAGAAAACATCGAATAAAGTTATTGTTCTTCTTCCACTTCTGTTATCGGAACCACAAGAATGGTACAGTCTCCTCCGTAATTCTTGCACTATGACTACGGATTACTGGAAAAAATTGTAACAATTTTTCTCGTACACATCACTAATCCGGTTCGTCAGAACATGGCTCTGTTGGTTTACATCTGAAAAACCTGTTTTTTTTTGTTCTTGAATTCGCTTTGCACATAATTACCTTTGCATTGTCTGTATTAAGTAGTTTTCAATTTACGATGGTGATCTTGGATTTGACCTTGACTTTGACCTTTAAGGTCATTTGAAGTTCAAGTTAAGTTTTTTAAATGCGAACCCCTATTTTTTATTGCGGATTTGGAAAGAGTAAGGTCAATGCCAAAGTTATGGTCAATACCATGTTTGGACGTAAAATTTCCTGCTCCTTTCAAATCCGCAATAAAAAATAGGAGTTCCCGTTTGAAAAAATAATTTTGACCTTGAAGGTCAAGGTCAAGGTAGAATACAAGGACGCCATTGAATAGCCAGAGAAAAATCCTAAAACTTTTATATTTACTATTTTTCAAGAAAATACACTCCTGACGAGTTATTCAGGGGTTTTCATACTTTTGTGCCACTCTGTATAATCAGAAGTTTAAGTTAGTCATTATGTAAGACATAAATACGAATAATTTTTACATAATTGTTAAAATCGATCGAAGTTTGTAGAGTTAAGCCGAGACAAAGGCAGGGCTGGATCACTTATAAATTGTTAAATGTCTGAAAAATTTAAAACCCGGTTTGCATTTATCAAAATTTGGTGGCTGTTCTTCTGCCAGAACTCTCCACGGTACAAGGGTGACCCTTTTTATTCTTTGTGGTAGGGATTAGTTTGCAGATTTTCATGTACCGGAAAAGAACAAAGTAAAACCTTAGTAAACACAAACAAAACTAAAGGGCTCCGTCTTTTAATAAATAAATAAATAAAATAAATAGGTAACTTTTATTTTCCTTAGAGACTTTGTGATAGAGTATAGGAATAGTCAATAAAACAAACTTCTGATGCATACAGTGTAATGCATATGCAAAGAAATTCTATGCAATTTATTTAATCCTACATATACAGGGTCGGAAAGTCACCATGGTTCATCGGCCGTTAAGTGAGAGCGATAAAGTAAGTCATAGAAATCTGTGCGATAGAGAAGGATGGCTATAAAAAAGGCATCTCATAGTCACCGCCCATTTCACATTTCCACAAATAAGATTCCGGAAATAAGAAAAACTGAAATTATANTGGTGACGTATCTATCTGACTTTCTGTTGCTGCGCTATTAAAAATACCTCCAATTTTTTCCTGTACTTCCAAGCAATTTTTCAGGAAACTGTTGTGGGTGCATACAGAATCAAAGCATTCCTTACATACAACGGGATCTTTGATGATATTTATATTCTGCAAAGTAGTTTCATTAAATTGCCAAAAATGTAACTATTTAATATCATTGATACCATTTCAGGAGCCAATTTCTCGATAGCTTCAAGTTCCTCTTCACGTATGCTCCTAAACTCACTTTCTACTGGCTCCATACACAATCGACATATTCTCCGACTATCTGAAATATCCATTGACTTGCTTGTCTTTTCCTTCGTATACACGTCTCTGATATCGAGCTGTAACATTTTTTCACAATCCACATACGGAATAATTGCGTAATCGTTCTTCAAACAAGTTGACTTAAATTCGAATGCTGTGTTTAACTTGCTTCTGCAAACGTTACATATAACATCTTTGCCCTCGCTATCCAATTTCTAAAATATATGCAACTTTAACCAAAGAGAAAGAAAACGATTGGTAGAAAATATCAGTTATTGTTATGTCGCTCTGATGTGTTGAGGTGTCCGAATTGAGATATACAGCGCATCCCAGAAGTAACGCAAAAAATTCGTATTTTATTTTGTGTTGCGTTTTCACAAAAACGCTAAAATACGTCAATTAGTACATAAGAATTGTCCTTATATCACGTTGCTTAAACCTTCTTTGCACAATGTTTCATGAACCTATGACGTCATCGACATTTTTTTTGAATAGCACTACCTAATTTTTTAGGCATAAAAGGATAGCCCTGTTGAAAGGAAATGCGTCGATATAGGGTTTGTCCTACTTTACTTTAACAGGCGCGAAAAAAAACAGACAAATGTATTAATTAATTTAATGTAAAGAATGTAAAGAAATTAACAGTCGGGCAATGGGCGAGTCGATGTTCGAATTCATCCGTGGCATTTTGAATTGCCTCTGGTGGTATCCGACTAATTTCTTCTCTTATGCGTCTACCAGCTCTGCTTTTTAAATAGCCCCCACAAGAAATGATCTAGGGGAGTTAAATCGGGCGAACGTGGTGGCCACTCAATGATCCTCTTCGACCTATCCACCTACTTGGAAAAATTTCATGCAAGTAATTCCTCCCCGCAAATACTGTCTGCTGGAACATCATTATCCACGTGATTTTTCGCATCTGTCAAAGTAAAGTGGGCCAAACCCGATATCGAAGGATTTCCCTTCAAAAGGGCTATCCTCTTATGCCTAAAAAAATAGGTAGCGCTATTTAAATAATAATTTCGATGACGTCATAGGTTTATGAAGCATAGGGCAAAAAAGGTTTAAGCAACATGACAAAACGACAATTCCTATACAGGATGTTTGTAAGAAAGTGCGAAATATTTTAGGGGGTGGTTGCCGAAGTTATTTTGTAAAAAAAAAGTTCATATAATCGTAGGTCGAAATATGCATCGTTTTCGAGATACAGTGTTTAAATTTAAATATAAATAAAATATAAATATTTTGCGTAAAAATACAGGGTGTCCGCAAATTTCACCGACAACGTTTGACCTACGAAGGAAAATTAAATAAAAAATTTTTGGTTTTAGTTACAGGCCTTCAAAGTTGTCAAGAATAAAACTAATTTAATTTACTTTTACCGATCGCGTTAAAATTTGGCACATTTATTTGGACTATTGTGGCGTATTATTTCTTAAAGTTTTAGTCAAATCGATATACTGGGTGATAGTTTTCTCCGGTTACTTCCCCCTTTTAGCGGTCAAAACGTTTACAGTGGCCGTATTTTTTTTAAACGTACAGCAACAATAAAAAGGTCCTTTTATTAAAAAAGAAAAACAATTGTCTCTTGAGAAAATCGCCTAGAGAAAGCCTTTCTTGAGAAAAATGGAAATATTTGCAGGTCTGTATGTTTCGGTTTGCGTCACGGATTTAAAATTTTTGAGTTCAGTAGGCGATGAAAACCGTTGCATTGCTGCTAAAATATTTTTGTATAATTCATAAGAAAATGATTTTCAAAGTTCGATACCTTGAAAACGGTTAAGTTTAGGTATATGTGTTAAATAAATTTTGTTTAGAATTTCGAGAAGAATTGAAACATGGAATAATATACAGGGTATTCTGATAACGAAAAAGCAACTTTGTTTCGTCATAACTTTTCTTTATAGCGATAGCTTTAAGAAAACGTGTCTTATGATTTTTTTTATAGCTATCTTACTTTAGGAGACAACCGACCGTTTCCATACATATCAGCGACCCCGAACTGATGCATATCTATCACCGACTTACCAATTTCAGCAAAAGAACATCCAAAATATCTCTAGTAACGTTGTCTATTACCTCAAAACCTTTAACGGTTACAGTTTTGAGGCAAAGCTTACACGAAGTTTTTTGAACACCAGTCATTGAAACAATTTTCTTTGAAATGTAAATGTCGAACTGTAACTTATGTTCGTTGTTTAACCTCAAAGAAAACATCAAATAGAGAAAGTTATTGTTCTTCTTCCTCTTCTGTTATCGGAACCACAAGAATGGTACAGTCTCCTCTATAATTCTTGCACTATGACTACGGATTACTGGAAAAAATTGTAACAATTTTTCGTGTACACATCACTAATACGGTTCGTCAGAACATGGCTCTGTTGGTTTACATCTGAAAAACCTGTTTTATTTTTGTTCTTGAATACGCTTTGCACATAATTACGGTTGCATTGTCTGTATTAAGTGCAGTTTTCAATTTACGATGGTGATCTTGGCTTTGACCTTGACATTGACCTTTAAGGTCATTTGAAGTTCAAGTTAAGTTTTTTAAATGCGAACCCCTATTTTTTATTGCGGATTTGGAGAGAGTAAGGTCATTGCCAAAGTTATGGTCAATACCATGTTTGGACGTAAAATTTCCTGCTCCTTTCAAATCCGCAATAAAAAATAGGAGTTCCCGTTTGAAAAAATAATTTTGACCTTGAAATGACCTCGAAGGTCAAGGTCAAGGTAGAATACAAGGACGCCATTGAATAGCCAGAGAAAAATCCTAAAACTATTTATCATTTTTCAAGAAAATACACTCCTGACGAGTTATTCAGGGGTTTTCATACTTTTGTGCCACTCTGTATAATCAGAAGTTTAAGTTAGTCATTATGTAAGACATAAATACGAATAATTTTTACATAATTGTTAAAATCGATCGAAGTTTGTAGAGTTAAGCCGAGACAAAGGCAGGGCTGGATCACTTATAAATTGTTGAATGTCTGAAAAATTTAAAACCCGGTTTGCATTTATCAAAATTTGGTGGCTGTTCTTCTGCCAGAACTCTCCACGGTACAAGGGTGACCCTTTTTATTCTTTGTGGTAGGGATTAGTTTGCAGATTTTCATGTACCGGAAAAGAACAAAGTAAAACCTTAGAGGGCTCCGTCTTTTAATAAATAAATAAATAAAATAAATAGGTAACTTTTATTTTCCTTAGAGACTTTGTGATAGAGTATAGGAATAGTCAATAAAACAAACTTCTGATGCATACAGTGTAATGCATATGCAAAGAAATTCTATGCAATTTATTTAATCCTACATATACAGGGTCGGAAAGTCACCATGGTTCATCGGCCGTTAAGTGAGAGCGATAAAGTAAGTCATAGAAATCTGTGCGATAGAGAAGGATGGCTATAAAAAAGGCATCTCATAGTCACCGCCCATTTCACATTTCCACAAATAAGATTCCGGAAATAAGAAAAACTGAAATTATATTTAATTCATCCATATATCTGTATAATCATGTAATAGTGCACAATAAAAGCTAAGGATTTAAATTTATATTTAGGCCTTAAAATAATACTAATAAACTATAATAGGGAACAGCGTTAGTACAATAACGTTTCTTTGCACTTGTAACCCTGCCCCCCCTACACAAATTACGAAAAATCAAATGAAAATTATAAATTACATAGGATGCAGGGTTAATATTAAATGTGTACTTATAAAAATTAAAGAGGTCAAAAAAATAAATGTATCAAATAAACCCTTATTTAAACATAGAAAATAAAGGTGGTTACTGCAAAATTCGATTAGCCGACAGCCTGTCAAGCCAAATAGTCAATTTAGGACAGGACAAATAATGAATATCAGGCTGGAAGGGTGAATTGATTTGATACAAATATAATTTAAATAAAATAAAAAACTTCCCACTCTGCTTTCCGGTTTACCGAAACGCTTGTCTCGAAAATCATGTGGACAACCGAATATCGAGTTTCTAAGCTAGAAGTGAAAAACAGGGTGGATAGTATTGCTAAAAACCACCCCTGCATAGGAATGGCAAGAGAAGAAGGCTTTGAACATTCTTATAAAAATATTTCAAAATTTCCTACATCTAAACCTATACATAATTTATTTATTTCTTCTTAGTTCATTAAAGAGTTGAGTTTACAAGTCTATACGACATCGGCAACACGGAAAAGTTGATCTCTCAACGCATAAATACCACGGCCAAGTCAGCAGTTCTCAACCATTTTTTATTAAGAAAACCAATGCATATTTATTTTGTTCCTAATTTTTTTGCAGTTGTTTAAAATACACATGTACACATTTAACATTCTCCTGAACATTGATAATGAAAAAGATACATCTTTAAACATAGAAAAAAGCAGGTGCATATTACAAAGTATTCATTTTAATGCATTGTTACAAAAGCACTAGTCCAAAATCATTTGTCTCGTCTCTGTACACCTTCCCTATGTGTCAGTTCATGCCGTTTGATAGCATTCTTATATTTACATTCATAATTGCAGTCGTTACACCTGTACGTTTGAACCTGCGAAGGATCTTTATGCTTCAGTTCATGCCGTTTAATATTCCTCCTGTACTTAGATTCATAATTGCAGTCGTTACACTTGTACATTTGCACCTGCGAAGGATCTTTATGTTTCAATTGATGCTTTCTGAAATATCCCCTGGATACAGTTTTGTAATCGCAGTCATTACACTTGTACATTTGAACCTGCGAAGGATCTTTATGCTTCAGTTGATGTTGTTTGATATAACTCTTGTATATAGTTTTGTAATCACAGTCGTTACACCTGTACGTTTGAACCTGCGAAGGATCTTTGTGTTTCAGTTGATGATGTTTTAAATCATCCTTGTATCTACTTTCGTAATCGCAGTTGTTACATCTGTACATTTTGACCTGTGAAGGATCTTTATGTTTCAGTTCATGCCGTTTGATATCATGCTTATATTTACATTCATAATTGCAGTCATTACACTTGTACATTTGAACCTGCAAAGGATCTTTATGCTTCAGTTGATGATGTTTTAAATCATCCTTGTATCTACTTTCGTAATCGCAGTTGTTACACCTGTACATTTTGACCTGGGAAGGATCTTTATGCTTTAGTTCATGCCGTTTGATATTCCTCTTGTGTTTAGATTCATAATTGCAGTCGTTACACTTGTACATTTGCACCTGCGAAGGATCTTTATGTATCAGTTGGTGCTTTGTAAAATATCCCGTGGATATAGTTCTGTAATCGCAGTCGTTACACTTGTACATTTGAACCAGCGAAGGATCTTTATGCTTCAGTTGATGTTTTGTGATATAACTCTTGTATATAGTTTTGTAATCACAGTCGTTACACTTGTACGTTTGAACCTGTGAAGGATCTTTGTGTTTCAGTTGGTGCTTTTTGATACAACCCTTGTATTTAGTTTCGAAATCGCAGTTGTTACACCAGTACATTTGCACCTGCGAGGAATCTTTATGTATCAACTGATGTCTGGTAAAATTTGGCCTATTCTTTGATTCATATGTGCAACTATTACATTTATAAACGGGCAGTTGTGTAGTGTCCTTATTCGGTAATGCGGTGTATGTGGTTTTAAAGTCACATTCTACACAATTGTTTGAGTTTTTGTGTTTTATATGACTTTCAAAACTGAATTCCCGCTTTGTTTTAAAATCACAAAAGTCGCACTTGTACAATCGTCCTTCAGATGCGCTTTTGTGTTTCACCTGATGCTTATCAAGCTCGCACCTGGACTTTGTCTCGTAATTACATGATCCGCATCGATGCATACGCATTTCCGAAGAATTTTTATGCATCAGCCAGTTCTTCTGAAAAAATTTTTTATTTTCAGTTTCATACTCCCACGATTCACATTTATATGCTTCCGAATCGTTCTCGTGTCTCCTACGATGTGCTATAAAACGACTGTCGCTTCTAGTTTCGTAAATACATTTATCACATTTGTAAAATACTTTGTCGTCCTGGTTGACTTTGGTATTACATTCATTTGTCGCTCTATTCTCATGTTTACATCCATCATCTGCATCTCTAAGGACACTCTTCTCGAATGATTCACTATCGGAGCTCTGCAGTAGCGAGTCGCTGAAAACATTACATATACAGGGTATTTTCTAATATTAGGTGTTAATTCTAGGGGGTGATAGGTTATTGAAAATGCAATTATGCAAGTTTCTGAACTCCACACTTCAATTTTATTATCATACAAATCAAATTCTTGATGACAATTAACCCTTTCACTGCTCCAGACGTATATATTCGCTAAAAATTTATAGAGCTCAAACTGCTCCAGACGGATTAATTCGCATGAATAGTAAAATTGGATCAGGCTGCTCAAACCGTATATATTCGCAACCATGCGCATCAGTGACTCGGTTATTGCAATTGGTAAGGCGAATTTTTGCGGGCGAGCTTATACCGATTGTGACAAATATTTTTATGGAAAGAGGTACTGGTAATAATACCAAGATTGTTCATGTTTCTTTCAGTTTCTATTTAGTACATATACTGTATTTTATTCAAAATAAAATCGTAAAATTTATCATAAATCGTAATTTAACACAACATAATGTAAAACTATAAGTGGTCTAACTGCTCCAGACGTACATATTCGCACACGATAAACTTTCGCGCACGGCGCGGTAGCTACTTTCAGACGTATTGCGCAGCGAAAGGGTTAATAATATTTTATTGATATGTTTAAAATAATTAATTTTGCGAAAACTATCAGAAGTACAAGAAATTAATGCAAGAGATGCAAAATTAAATAAGATCTGGAGTTACGCGGTTACCTTATAAATTTGTCAAAATAGTCCTCTCTTACCTCCTTTCTTCATCTTCCGATTTTATGTCGATACTTTCAGCTTTGATTGACATTTCCATCTCGTTGATATCAAATTCCTTGTCCTGGTTTTCAGTCTTAACGAATAAATCAGCTGGTGACGTATCTATCCGACTCTCTGTTGCTGCGCTATTAAAAATACCTCCAATTTTTTCCTGTACTTCCGAGCAATTTTTTAGGAAACTGTTGTGGGTGCACACAGAATCAAAGCATTCCTTACACACAACGGGATCTTTGATGATATTTATATTCTGCAAAGTGGTTTAATTAAATTGCGAAAAATGTAACTATTTAATATCATTAATACCATTTCAGGAACCAATTTATTGATAGCTTCAAGTTCCTCTTCGCGTATGCACCTAAACTCACTTTCTACTGGCTCCATACACAATCGACATATTCTCTGACCATCTAAAATATCCATTGACTCACTTGTCTTTTCCTTCGTATACGCATCTCCTATATCGAGCAGTAACATTTTTTCACATTCCACATATGGAAAAATTGTGTAATCGGTCTTCAGACAAGTTGACTTAAATTCGAATGCTGCGTTTAACTTTCTTCTGCAAACGTTACATATAACCTCTTTGCTCTCGCTATCAAATTTCTGAAAAATATGCAACTTTAATCAAAGAAAAAGAAAATCACTTAGGCAGAAAATATCAATTATTGCGAGGTCGCCCTAATGTGTTGAGGTGAGCGAAATTAGGGTGCTTTGTTTGAAACGTACATTTTTTTTGTTGCTCCATTGACGAAATATTGTTCAAAAAATTGGAAATAAAATTTTACCAAATTTCAGTTCTTAATTTTAACTTTTAGTACTCGCTATTTTATTTTAAAATTTTCCTATTCGTTTAACACGTAAACCTACATTTCTTTTTTAATTAAATTATCTCATCTCTAATTATAGTTCTATCTGCAATTTCAAATATTCTATAAAGGGTTTTTTAAGTTTTCACACGATTGAATCTATTTATCTCATGAAGTAATAACTTACAGCTTTACTGAGGACTTTTTTATACTAAATTCAATTTTCTATAAAAATGTCATCTACGATTGTAGGTCTATAGTCATTTATGAGAAAAATGCAAAAATCGATAAAATTAAAAAAAAAGTTTTTTAACAGTGAAACCGTTCAAGACATCTAAATCCTTCTATGGACACTTTCAAAGAACAAATATTTCCATATAATTATCGGCTATGGACAATAAAGTAGGTCTGTACTGACATCTAGATGCTGTAGATATAGCTCTTCGTCTTTTCATCTTGTGTAAAACCGTACTTATCTTATCAACATCGACGTCACCTGTTACATAGGTGTTGTATAACAATGAAAAAGTAATATTAACGGTCGATAGAAGGAAGCACAAAAAACAGGCACTTAGGTAGGAAATTCTGGAAGGAAGCCTAAATAGTTGAAGATAGGCAGTTGAAGTGAGAACAGTGTGCAGATTGGTAGCAAGACGATTGGCGGGCAGTGTGTCAAAGCAGTGAAAAGTTAATTGGTTAAAGTGTTATTAGTTAGCAGGTAATATTCTTTAAGTACTTTGTTGTTAATTGTTCTATATAATCTTATGATTGTGATGATTATAGATGTTTCATGATAATAATTCTTTGTAAGTTTAGCTTCCATTGCTTTATGCTCAAGGGCATATATTTTTCCAAGGTAAAATTGTTATAATTATACTTAAAGTTTGCCCATTATTTATTTCATGTTAAAAATATATGTATTGTCCTGATTGCCAGACATTACAATAACGACTTCTTTGTTTCACATCTAACTTGTTTTTGCCACGATTACGTTATACGTAAAATATAGATGTTTCATGATAATAATTCTGTATATGTTTAGCCTTCATTGTCTTACGCTCAGGGGCGTATATTTCTCTAAGATAAAATTGTTACAATTATTATTAACGATTGCTCATTATTTATTACATGTTGAAATATGTATATATTGTCGTGTCTGCCCAGATATTGCAAAACAACTTCTTTGTTTCACATTTAACTTGTTTTATCTTGATTACGTTGTTCTTTGATTTCTTGTGCTCACTTTATGTCATACGTATGTAAGAGCTTTGTTGAATTTACTAACATTTTCACCCATGATTATTATTATTGTTATTATTGTTGTTGTTCTCCCGAAATCTCAACTTTAGCTGGATAGCCTCCCGTATTATGGGACTCCAGTACCTTCCCTATTATTATTGCTATTATTATTATTATTCCTATTATTATTATTATTATTATTATTATTGTTGTTGTTGTTGCTATTATTGTTACTAAAACCTCTTCAGTTTTACTTGGAAGTGTGTATGTCAGACTTGAGTGAGATGACATTTAGTGAGAAATTAAATAAGTCCAGTTTTGATTATCATTAGCAAAGGATCTTAATTTATTCCTTTGGTTAGCGGTTGTTTTGTATTTATATTTGGGTGGTGAGAGCAACGATCGTGGGTTTCTCTGCCATGCTCTTTCCCCGCAGGAGCTCTAGGTGAGCCTGGCACTCTCATTCTATGTTAAATGGTTGTTAATGTTTTTGTTCTTTCTGTTTGTCACATGTTTAATTTGAGGTCTGTTGTAATAAAGTTAGGTGTATTTACTCTGTCTTTGTTTTATAAAATTAAACCATACATCCCCTCTACAAAGTTAGTAGCCTGCGCCTTCCGGTCAATAAAAAAGTAAATACACACAAAGTAGGTAGTCCTTATGACGATCACATATTTTTGGCCACAACTACGTTTACTTATTTTCTGTCGAACCTAGGGTTGTTATACTACAATCTGTATTACAATTAAAAAAGAACAAAACATATGTTAATACCGAACTTGCCTTCAATGGAGCGGAACGTTCAACTGTAAGGTTCCAAATTCGAATTAACAACAACGATTCCTACAGTACTTTTCTTTAAATAATAAATGAAATATACTATACCACTAAACAAAATGTTCAAAAAGTTTTCCACGTTATATACAGGGTGTTTTTTAATGAAGTAGCAAAAATGGTACCAGTGAATGTAGAGCCAAAAATAAGAGGATTGAAGGAAAAATACCTTAAATGAAAGTTGCACCCCTGAGATGATATACCCTCTTAAAGGAGGGGACTGAAATTCACATTTTAATTTTTTTTCTCTAACATGAGGAATGCTAGTGACACAAAACTTGGTATGAGCATCCTACTAATAAAGAGACAGCTTTTAAATATTTGTTCGATCATTGGCGTATTTTATAAAGGAGTGAAACAGTCAACCCCTTTTCAATATTTTATTAGAAATTTTTATATGTAGCAAAATATTTATTTAAAAATATTTATTGGGAAGAATATTTTATTGCGCAACTTTTTTTACCTCACGTAATTTTTCGATAAAACCGATAGTCTAGTAAAAAAATTAGATGCGTCATCGTTCACTAAAGGGGTAATTGTAAAAATTTGTAAAAATAAAGTAGGCGGATGTCATAACAAATGAATTGTTATTTATCATATTAATAAATTGACACTTTCTGTCAACCAATAATTAGTACCGATTGATTAATTTACTATCAGAATAATTATGGCAAATAATATTTATACCAATGACGAATATTTCGACATGCTCCAAGTGTTTTTCGAATCCAGAAAAAATAGTAACGCTGCAGTAAGAATATACCACCAGATACCCAAACTGACCGATTCCTCATAGACAAACATTGGCCTCGGTGAAAAGAAGGCTTCCCGAAACTGGTAAAATTCATACCAATCGTGAGGGTGCCGGAAGAAGGCGTAATGTCCGAACTGTTGAAACTGAGGAAGCTATACTGGAACTATACTATATATACTAGAACAAGACTGCGGTACAAGCACAAAATAGGTGTCCAGGCAACTGCAAGTTTCTCACAGTCTTGTGTGGAGTGTAGCTCATGAAAATCTTTTATACCCTTTCACCGTCAACCTGTGCAAGAATGGAATGACCCTGATTTACCTAACCTCGTGGATTTTTGTCAATGGTACATTAATATTTCCAGGCATGACTTAAAGTAAATTTTCCTAGAGTAGGTGCAGTAAACTTTCATAATGTTCATTCATGGACGGAAGAAAATACTCATGAAATATTTGTTTCAAGACGTCAACATAATTTCAGTTTAAACGTTTGTGTGGGAATTGTAGGAAATACTCTGATAGGTCCTTTTATTCTTCCACACAGGCTTGGAGCGGCCGAGTATCTTAGATTTTTGAAGGAAAATCTTCCAACATTACTTGAGGATGTACCTTCCCTACACGTCATGTGATGTGACATATGCACGATGGGGCGCCTGCACATAGTACACTTGCCGTTAGAGAAATTTAAATTACCCGAATTGCTGGATTGGTCGTGTTCGTGATGCCCGTGTTTGTTGGTCTGCACATTCACCTGACCTAACGCCTATAGATTTCTTTTTGTGGGAACCCATAAAAAGTATTGTTTATGCCACTCCTGTTGCCTCCTTAGAAGATCTACGCTTAAGAATATTTCAGGCAGCAGATGACCTTTGCAGTAACCAAGAACAGTTTGTGCGAGTGCGTTATAACTTCAACAGACATATTGGGTTATGCTTGCAGCAAAATGGAAATTATTTCGAGAATATCCTTTAAATTTAATTTTGCTTTTCTTGGTTTTCGTTTGTATTAAATTTTATTTCAGATAAATAACTTTACCTAATACATGTCCCATAGTCATAAGTTATCAAACATTTCTCATTAATTCATAGCAAATTATTCTTAATGTTATTATTAAATTACCAGCTTATTGACAGAAAGTGTCAATTTATTAATATGATAAATAACAAATAATTTGTTATGACATCCGCCTACTTTATTTTTACAAAGTTTCGCAATTACCCCTTTAGTGAACGATGACGTATTTAATTTTTTTACTAGAAAACTATCGGTTTTATCGAAAAATTACAAGAGGTAAAAAATCAGTGTTCTCAATAAATATTTTTAAATAATTTGCTTCATATAAAAAATTTCTAATAAAATATTGCAATGGAATTGACTGTTTCACACCTTTATAAAATACGCTAATGATCGAATACATATTGAAAAGTTGTCTCTTTATTAGTAGGATGCTCATACCAAGTTTCGTGTCACTAGCATTCCCCATGTTAAAGAAAAAAAATTAAAATGAGAATTTCAATCCCCTCCTTTAAGAGGGTATATCGTCTCAGGGGTACAACTTTCATGTAAGGTATTTTTCCTTCAATCCTCTTATTTTTGGCTCTACATTCACCGGTACCATTTTTGCTACTTCATTTAAAAACACCCTGTATACAGTGTCCCCGATATGCACGATCAATTTTCTCCAAAAGTAAGATAGCTATGGAAAAATCATAAGATACAGAATAAAATATTTTTCTATAATTTATAAAAAATTGATTTTCAAAGTTCGACATCTCGAAAACGGTTAAACTTAGGCGCATGATGTGATATATGAATCTTGTTTAGAATTTCGAAAAGAATTGAAATATGGAATAATATACAGGGTGTCCCGATAAAGAAGAAGCAACATTGTCTCGTAAGACAACTTTTCGACTGATCCTGTATATTTAAATTTTCTTTTTTGTAATAGTCCTAAAACGTTTGTGTCTTCTGATTTTTCGACAGCTATCTTACTTTAGGAGATAATCGACCGTTTCCATGCATATCAGCGACCCTGAACTAATAGATACATATAACTTACCAATTTCAGCAAAAGAACATCTAAAATGTCTCTAGTAACGTCGTTTATTACCTCAAAACCTTCAACGCCTACAGTTTTGAGACAAAGCTTACACGAAGTTTCTTGAACACCAGTCATTGCAACAATTTTCTTTGAAATGTAAATATAAAACCGTAACTTGTGTTGGTTGTTTAACCTCAATGAAAACATCGAATAGTTACTGCTCTTCTTCTTCTGTTACCTGAACAACATGAATGTAAAGTATCGCCTATAATTCTTTCTCTACATTACGGAATGCTAGAAAAAATTGACGTAACAATTTTTCTTGTGCATTGCAGTAATATGGTTCTTCAGATTCAGAACAACTGTTGGTTTACAACTGAAAAACCTGCTCTTTGTTCTTAAATTCGGTTTGCAGATAATTACGATTGCATTGTCTGTATTAAGTGCTGCTTACAATCTACTTGAAGTAGTAACTTAATATATTTTGCATTTGAAAATTTATTCTATCATAAGATGACGTCATCAACGAAATGCCGAAATTCGATTTGAAGCAAATTGTAACCCTAAGATGTACTTACAGCATTCTGAATATTAGTACCAGCAATTTATCTTTTATTTACGTGGCCACCACCTTTCCCTGAATTAAAAACTATCACCTACTTTTATTGGGAAATAACATGTTTTTGTGCCCAAATGTGTTTACGAGTGGGTGGACAAAATTTAGAACGTTTACTGATTACATTTAATAATTATAGAACTTAATTGAATGTTTTTGAAAAGTTATGAATCGCCATTATTCCATGGCTAGAAATTGGCCTCAATGATTTGGGATCGAGGGGGATTATCCCTCTTTATCCTGCCTCATCTCGTGTAGGCCTGGACAGCCTTCGTAGGTGGGCCCCATCCGTCGTCTACCCCGACCGCAAATGCGGCCGGTGTAGGCGCTTTGTGGGACCTCCTTTCGTCCTGGCTGGGCCCCGCCGGCTAGGGCCCTTTCTTCTGGCGCTCTTCTTGCTTCGCCGGCTCGTCTGTGTAAACCCCGGGGGTTGTGTCATATTTATGTGTGGTGTGGTATGGTTGGGTAGGGCAGTGCGGCTATGCAGCCTGGGTTGCGCTTTGCTAAGGTGGCCCTTAGGCTAGCGCGGAGTTATGAATCATTACGTCTTCCCCTTTTGCCAAGTAGATAGCGCCATCTATCAATAATGGTAGACCGCCTTGAATATTTCAATCAATGACCGCCTATAAATTTAAAGTATACTGTAATATTTATAAAGTATTACATATTAGTACCATTTTTACCCGAAAGATGGCGCTACAAATCTAATTCTCGTCACGATTTTATTACGTGGTTCCTACAATTCTGGAACAGAAGTTATCATTTTGGTTCAGATCAATTAGCAGATTTTTATGTACACAAGAACAAAAACTGTGTAAAAATAAACAAAAGTAAATTGCTCCGTTAAACACATTAATACACTGTAATGCATATGTGAAATTATATTTAATTAATTTAACGCAACATACATAAATATGTATAATCATATAATAGTGCACAATAAAAGCTAAAGATTTAAACCTATATTTTTCCCTTAAAATAATACTAATAAAATACAATAGGCAATAACAGTGTTAGTACAATAACGTTTCTTTGCACTTGTAATACCGTTCCCCCTACACAAATTACGAAAAATCAAATGAAAATTATAAATTACATAGGACAAAGGGTCAATTTTAAATGTGTACATTGTGCTTCCCTAAACCTATGGGTTCAGGTTTACAATTATTAATAAATCGGTGTGGGTACAGAAAAAACTGATACGTAACAAATCACTATATTTATTAGTTGACANGCTGGGCCGGGCCGGCTAGGGCCCTTTCTTCTGGCGCTCTTCTTGCTTCGCCGGCTCGTCTGTGTAAACCCCGGGGGTTGTGTCATATTTATGTGTGGTGTGGTATGGTTGGGTAGGGCAGTGCGGCTATGCAGCCTGGGATGCGCTTTGCTAAGGTGGCCCTTAGGCTAGCGCGGAGTTATGAATCATTACGTCTTCCCCTTTTGCCAAGTAGATAGCGCCATCTATCAATAATGGTAGACCGCCTTGAATATTTCAATCAATGACCGCGTATAAATTTAAAGCATACTGTAATATTTATTAAGTATTACATATTAGTACCATTTTTACCCGAAAGATGGCGCTACAAATCTAAT